AATTTTTTAAAAAATGAAAATAAAAAACCCGCAAATAAACGTCGTAAAGTATTTAATGTTCGAAGTCTTACTTTGCGTGGAAGTATACTACAAATGGCGTTAAATAGAGATGACGAGTTTGGTAAAATAGTTTGGAAAAGGGTTATTAGTGAACCTGATCTAGAAGCTGCCGAGGCAATTTACCACCATGACTGTTATGTGAAGTTTTCTCGAATTTCTTCCATTTCAACACAAAAAAGAGGACGACCCGAGGTAAGCAATATATCAGAATCTATGGATATCATTTTTAAATATATTGAAGAGATCGAGGAATGTCAATTTTCAATAGACGATCTTATTGAAGATCTTGATGGCTATAAGCCCGATAAAAAAACAGTGAGTAAAAAGTTGATGGAAAAGTATGGCAGTGATATTATCATTAGTAGCGGAATAGGTACAACGTTTTGTTTCAAATCGGTCRGTAATCGGATACTTAATGAAAATTGGTATTCAAATAGAAGTAGTAACGTTGAGGAAGAACGATTAAGAATAATATACACAGCAGCAGAAATAATTAGAGAGGATATTAGGTCACAGGTACATGACCTTACTTCGTATAATTCTTGTTTTGATTTTTTTTTTAATGTTGATACGGTTGTACCAAATACTCTGAAAGTATTTTTAGACGAAGTTATCATTACTAAAAAAAAAAAGAACTGAATTTACAAGAAAAAGTACTGCGATAGCTCATTCAATTTTGGCTGCAACAAGACCAAAATCATTCATATCACCGTTACAATTAGGCCTTTCAGTCATGTTACATAGAACATTTGAATCTAAAAATATTATTAATATTTTGTGCAATCTTGGTTTTTGCGCATCCTATCGCGAAGCATTATTATTCGAAGCATCTTCGTTGTATCATCCACAGCCAGATATTTTACCGAATTCATTTTCCCAATTTATTTTTGACAACGACGATTTTAATATTAATACTTTGGATGGTTTAAATACTTTTCACAGCATGGGCGGTAAACAATGTGTGACAMCTACTAGTTCAGTTTGTCCAGTAGATAAAATAAATCGACTCAAAATAATGCCATCGTCACAAGATATAGGAAATTTACGAAAAATAAATATAAAAATATTAGAACCAGCTGACAAAGATGGTATTAAAAATATTATGTTTGACAATTTAAATAATTTTGGTGTAGATGAATAAGTTGAATTATCTTTGCCTCATTTGCTGTGGATATTATGAAAGTTTATCAACAATCCTTCAATCCCAGGATGGAATGCATTTATGGCGAAAATAACACAGAATAAACCATTTTCACAGTCAAGAATAGTTCCACTTCCATTTGTAAATTTACCTCCAAGCAATTACGACACTATAAATACTGTCTTACATTTCRCATTAAAAAATGTTCGTCATTGGACCAAAATACCTGTGTCATAACCAGCCCCTCTATATCAAAGCTCGTGATATAGTAGCAAAAAGTCCAAATTTATCAAATGTCATTGTTCGGTTGGGAGGTTTTCATTTACTTATGTCGTTCTTACGCGGTTGGATATATAATGGCAGGAAGTGGCTTAAAGGAAATTTTTAGTACAATTTATACACCGATAACTGCAGATAAAATGCTCACTGGTCATGCATACTCCAGAGCTGTAAGAGGACATACGTTGGTCCATTTGGCGTTATCAAATATTATTTTACAGTCATTTACAATTAGTGGTGAAGAGAAAAAACAATTAAACGATTTATTTTATATGTTATATGCGTTATATGTAATAGATGGTGGTTTTCTTTTACATGGAGTTGTGTGGCAATTAAATTTAACTTTCAATCAAATTTTTCAACTGTACTTATCCTATATAACAAAACATTTTGGGACCAATGCAGTTATAGTTTTTGACGGCTACAATGAAAGCTCGACAAGTACAAAAAATATGGAACGTAATCRGCGTGTAAAAAATACTTCGGCGGACATTTTATTTGATGAAAATATGGTTCTACATTCTTATCAAATATAAGAAACAAAAGTAGATTGATACAAATGTTGTCTTCATATTTGATAGGTAAAGGTTACATTATTAAACAAGCCAATGACGATGCCGACACTGTAATTGTAAATGAAGCTATAAAGAGGGCACAAAGTCAATCTGTTGTTGTAATTATTGGTCAAGATATCGATTTACTGGTTTTATTAATAGCTCTTACACCGGTAGAAAATCAGATCGTATTTTTAAAACCAGGAAATGGAGGAAATGAAAATAATATATATTCAATTCAAGATATCCAAAAGGTTAATGGCATAAAAATATCAATTTTATTTTTACATGCTATAAGTGGATGCGATACTGTTTCATGCTTCTATAATATTGGAAAATTAAAACATTTCAAACTTCTCAACCAATATCCAGAACTTCAAGAAATAGTAAATATATTTAACTGTCCAAACTACACACCTGAAAACATTTTTAAAGCTGGGGAAAGATACACATTAAAATTATATGGTGCACCACAAAGTCAAACAAATATAGACGAATATCGATATTTATTATTCACCCGAAAAACGGCTGGAAATAAATTCAAATTGGCAAGCTTACCACCATCAAAAGAGGCTTTAAAACAGCATATATATCGAACATATCACCAGGTTCAAATGTGGCACGGAGAAGAAAAAAATATATACATAAAAAATAATATTGCCCCCCTTCTCAATCAAAGAACTAAAGCCGCCCCTGTTACTGATGAATTGAGGAAAACGTGTTGAGCATTTGATTCAACAGAAAATACATGCGTCACCTAAACTCTWTGAACAAATCTCTGTTGGTACTTTTGAAGTTTTCAAATTTGAAATAAAGGTTTGTATTCTTGTTATAAAAAATTGTAAAAGTTTTCAACTTTTTTCAACTTTTTTTAGAAAACATTTTAACTTTATGTACCCAAGCAATGACCTAAGGKACTGCTGTATCAAAAATATCAAAACACCATATATCCAATTGCGCCGTTATAACTTATGCAGTGGTCCTAAGAAATTGAAATTGTATGAAAATAACTCAAATGCCAACTCTATTCGAGAATTGTCTCATGATGAATCAGAAGGTAAATTAAAACAATTTAACAATTGAAATTGGCACCAATTTAAAACATTAAGGTGAAGATTTTTCTACAGCTGCTGAATTAAATAGTGTCAAGCAATGGCATACATTTTATATAGAGCCTGTAAAGGAAGTCCAAATAAAGCGAAAAACAAAACTATTCRAGATATCATTGATGAATGGCCAACATACAAACAGTCTTTTGGTTATAGTTTGGTATGTTTGTTTAATCGTGTTTATTTGGAATTATAGATTAGGTGTTTTTAGTTATTTATGAGTTACCTATTTTAAATTAATATATGTATATTAAAATGATCATTTTTCTTTCAAAATTGGCCTACAATAGTGTAGCTACTGCTATGTACTGACGTCCCGCTGAGATAACTAAATACGCATGTACACGTAGATGTACCTACGTAAGTATCCCTGGGGCATATGATTTCACCTACCATATATCAATGTGTGAGATAGCTGGTGTGAGTAGAATGCCAAACTAAGAGAAACCCATAGGACAAAATTATCGTGTTGACAGGAAAACAATTGGGATCATTATTAGATAAACTTATATGGGTATTGGGTTATTGAGATTACGTATCGCGAATAGGAGGATGTGAACCAAACGGCCACGTGAACGTGGGATGCTACGGTATCTTGGAGATACGCGCGTACGCATTTGCACGATTCGACCATGGGCACATACTTATCTTATCGATAGGAGAGGAAACGCAGAGAGTAAGACTATATAGGAGAGCCCCGAATAGACAAAAAGCAGACGTGAGCCACCAGAGTCGGTGCAAGCACCTTCACGACAGTCACAATTTCAATTTAATCATTTGGACATAGAATATTTTTAACTAAATWATCTTTGGACTAAGAAATTACTGGAGCCATTTAATACTTTTATCAGTGTCAACTGTCTTCGACAGCTAAGCTACTAGCAGTGTCTTATCAGTAATAGTGTCTTGTTCAAGTCAAAAGCAAATAAATATCTAATAATTAGTCACAAGCCAAGTTGTTATACTTATTTCACCCAAACCATCTACCTCGTCCTTCGTCCACTTGTATGCTGGGACGCTGCACTACCATAAATTTAAATGTTTCAACAGAAATAAATAATTTGTTTTTCTTTTCAAATATATAAGCATATAAATATATACGTATATAATTTACCTGAATAAAAATAAAATAATTCTAATTTCAGATTGATATAGATTTTGAGTGTATGAATACAAATTCTAAGCGCAATTCACTTTTTTCTAAATAAATACCATACTATTTAAATGACAACAATTCCAAAAAAGCAAGACAAAATTGTGGGGCTTGGATTCGACCGATTTTAATTTTAAAAATGAATATTAATTAGTTATTGTGTTAGTTAGGGAATGGTCAAGAGGATTTTATTTTTACTAATTCTTCGATAAAATATTAACAATTTAAAAGATAAGAATTTGTGTTATATATATATATATATATATATATTTATATACGGCATTAATTTTTGTAATGATGATAAATTTCCACGGCCATACTTTAGTAGAGTTGTTGAAGACTTTCAATTAGTTTTCAAAATTAAAATCCGTCAAACCCAAGTCTTACATTTTTGTTTAGCTTTTGGCTTGGTTTTAAATGATTATTTGTACTTGATCCAGCCACCTTAAAACTATATATCTCGATACACGATACAATTGCATCTCAAATACGTGTATTAAATACTAATATCTAAAATACTGCATACTTTGAATATATTACAGTCAAGTTTCGATTGGAATCTCAAAGGTTAAATAATAATTTGACTTATGCATTTTTCAAGTATATACTTCAATCATACTTTAAAAATACTTCAATAGGCAAGAAAAACATTAGAGTTATCGAAGAAAAGATAATAAGATTTTACACTAATATTAACTACTCACCTGTAAGATGAATATATTGATTATGATATGATTCATTTCCATTAGTTTTTGAATTACATATTATAAACCCGAATCTGTAAAGTATAATTTCTTGGAATAGTAATAATCTTCGAAGCCATGAATCTTCAGGATATTCTGTATAAATATATGTTTAAGTATTGTTAATATCTAATATTTTTAAATAGAAAAGAATAACAATAAAATTTAGGATACTAAATTCTTTTTTTTTAACAAAATATTTCTATATAGCAATGCCATTAAAAAAACTACATTAGTTATTTAATATTGAATTAATCTACTACAATATGTTACTTAAATAGAAATAAAACTAGATATTAATTTCTAATATTTGTATATTATATTACTCAAAAACTACTATTCAGAATTGTAAAATTATGAATAAGGAATTATTATTATACTGGTAAGCTATTAAAATGTAGGTAGAAAAGCATGCAGAGTAAAGAAAAAGCAAATTTCAAATATAATTTAACAAAATAGTATAATTTTTTACAAAATTAAAATATATTTTAATAGTAATAAAATTAGTTGTATTACCATGAAATAAACAATTGTTTTCTTCTGTCAAAAGACATTCCAAATTGAGAGGTACGAATACTGGACCACGTAGAGGATCTGATTTTAAAGTATATGGCAAAGCAAAAGGATCAGCAGGCAATGGTATCAACTGAAATCCACCAGTTTGTGCTTTACGTGCCCAATTATATATCTAATAATAATTCGAAAAAAATCGTGTAATAAATAAAAAATAAAATGTTATTCATTGCTTGTACCAAATCAGCCACAACTGAACCAGATGCTGCTACCCATCGAGCTATAATTTCATATGCCTGATCACAACGATAAAGTGATTGATATCTGGCATGACCCCATTCTACACGATCACTTTTACTATTTACATCCATCTCTAAATGAGCTTCTTTGTACCATGGTACTGTATAATGAAAAAATWTAGTAGTATATTTTTCTATTTTTCTATATTAATCACTAAACATAATATTAGACAAGTAGGCGTATGAATAAAATTAGAAATTTTATAATTTTATATATTATCTGATCTTATCCTAATTTACATAAATGTAAATTCCTTCATAAAATTTAGAAGGTAAAATTTAAAAATTATGTATTAGTTCCTAATATAAGTAGCCGTCAACCAACAAGAGTTATATTAAAAATTTCAAATGACCATCACGTGACCTGTTTTTTACTCGAAAACATGTCTTATAGAAAAAGCTCAAGATTTGTATCTGATTTCAAACTTTTTGTTTTGAATTTGAAACTTATTAATTTTAAATATTTAAAAAAATTCTCTTTCTAAACCTTTAATTACGATTTTAAATATCATCAATTTTCATAATTTTTTTTAGTATTTTGTTTTAAGCATTGAAATCAAAAAATAATGAAATCAGACCACTATATGAATCATGGGAGTTCTCTTATAAAGCATGTTTTGTGCTAAAAATCACACTTTTCATCTTTGTTCGGTATTGTCATTCACGTGAGCATATGAATACGATATCGTATGTACTAGAGCCAAAATGAAGAACAAAATCCTCAAAATCTTTCCACAGTGAAAATCTCAAAGCAATATTTTTACGACAAACTAGAACCATCTTATAAATATACCATGGAAAAACCGTTAAAATAAAATAAAAATTGATTATTTTACTATTAAAATTATTTTCAACTTAGGTTTTTGCTGTTATACGAGGTTTGACAATTAAGTAATGAGACTGATTCCATAAAAACCGTATATTTAAAAATTATTCTACAACTCTGCCATCCCCTTCACATTAATCCCCTTGGGCAGCTATACAACGATTCCAGCGCGTTTTCCATGCTTTGTAACATTTCTGGAACGTTTYGACTGGGATGTCCACGAGTACTACCGTCACGGCCACCTGGATGTTCGTAATCGACTCAAAATGGGTTCCTTTGACCACCGGTTTTGTTCTAGGGAACAAAAAAAAGTCACAAGGTGACATATCGGGTGAATAAGGTGGATGTTGCAACACGGCGATCACTTTAGAGACCAAACTGGGACACGCTAAAGGCGGTGTGGCACGGCACGTTGTCGTGATGAAGGATCCAGTTACAAGCGATGTCTGGGCGCACCCTGTTGACTCGTTTTCACAATCTTTCGAGTACTTGGCGATAGTAGACTTGATTTACGGTTTGCCCCGATGTAATAAATTCTTTGTGGATGATTCCACAGCTATCAAAATAGGCAATAATCATCGTTTTCACCTTCGACTTGCTCATGCGAGCTTTTTTCGGACGGGGGCGTGCGTCACCATTGTGAGCTTTGGCGTTTGGTTTCCTGGTCGTATTAGAAAAACCAGCTCTTATCGCCTGTAATAACTCGATCAAGCAGCGTGGGATCGTTTTCCACTTGTTCCAAACAGTCTTTTGCAACGGTCATTCGATGCTGCTTTTGCTCCTCAGAAAGGTTCTTTGGAACCATCTTCGCGCACAACTTTTTCATCCCAAAATCGTCGGTTAAAATTTGTCTGACTGTTTTACGGTTCATATCTAGTTYCGAAGCCAACATTCGAACTGTTAAACGCCGATTTTCACGGATTAGGGCGCGCACACGCTGCGCATTCGCATCAATCCGCACTTCGAGTGGTCTCCCACTCCGCGTCTCGTCTTCCACACTTTCACGCCCCTCCTTAAACTCTTTATGCCATCGAAACACCTGGGCACGACTAAGAAAACTATCAACATGCACTTTTACAATTTTAGCGTAAATTTCCKAAGCTGTTTTGTCCAATCTGGCGACAAATTCTATCGCGATGCGTTGCTCTTGATTTCGTTTTTCCATTTTCGTRACGAGAACTATCAACACACGTCTACTCAACTCGACACAGCAGGCGAACTAAATAAGCTAGAGCGATGGTAAATATATCAATGGAGAGGGGAAAGGGAAGGGAAATTCAAGGTCGCAGGTTTACCACAAGCACGGCAATAAAATCAATCTCATTACTTAATTGTCACACCGTATATTCGTGGCTACAATATTTAATTTATTCTCTTAATATAAAATAACTAACCTTCTCGCCTACTTCCATATTGTAGGGGCTCAGGAAGTGATAAATCATCCATTAAAAAGTCTATATTTTTGGGGTAATTAATAGGTTGTTTAACTTCCACTTCAACCCATTCATTTTCAAATGCTTGGAAATCATGTGTAGGCAAAGAAGCTAAAATTAAAAAATTAAAATGATGAGATAAAATTAAGCTGAATAATAAATTATAATAGCATTATTTACATTGATCAGTAGGCGATTCACATGAAGGAAAATAATACAAATAAAATCCATCAATGAAAGGATGAGAAAAATCTCCAGATGCATGGCAAATTAATCCTTCACACAAAATGTTCTAGTAACAGATTAAATAAATATTATCAGATTAAAATTAATAATTTAGAAAATACTAGATAACTCTCATATTAACTAACCTGTAAACGTTCAACAGCTTCATCTCTATTATTTAATGTCTTTAAATTATTCATAAGCCATGTAATTGCATCATTACTAACAAAAGTATTTTGTGGTAATCCCATGTGTCTGTTAACAAAACCAACACCAACTTGTGTATTACACAAATGTTCTACTAGCTCRGCGTTGGAAATATTTTCTTTAAGCAATTCAGAGTTGATTAAATTGATCGGACTGAAAAAATTAAATACGAACAAAATTTTTAAAAATATMTATTTATTATTCATATAATTTTAAAATTTTAAAATGTATACTTCTCAATATTATCAATAATTTCATCTTGAACAGTATTTTCAGGAAATAATGACACGATTGATTTATCATAAACATTAGAACCTGACCTAAATATTTAAAAATAAAAACCATTTTTCAATCATATGTTATGACTAATTGGTATTTAAAAATGTATTTTAGTAACAAATTGCAATAATTTTAATGGGCGAACCTTGGACGAGGCTTATCCGATGTACGTATAGAGTTGACACGATCTCGATAAGGTGATGTATCACTTGAACTCTAAATTATTTAAAACAGATAAAAACAGATATTGTTTTGAAAATATCTTTTTASTAATTTACATAAAATATTTAAAACTAACTTTGAGGCTGATTGTTGTCGATCTTTTAATACGATTTATCCAAGTTTCAATAAATTTAACAAATTTATTTGTAAAACAAACTTGTTCCTCCATTGTTGGTATTTTGTAAATATCACAGTAAAATGTATCATCTAAATGACTCATAATAGTTTTTGTTGCATCATGACGCAAAGGTAGAAGATACATACGGAATCGCCAATATTTTAGTTTCTAAAAAAAATCATATTCAAATTGTATACAAATATCCAATAAAAGAATTTTTGTGAATTTCTATGTAAAAATTTTAAAATTTTAATTATTTAGTATTATTCTTGAACTTAATATTATAAAAATGTAACCTCGTGTAAATCATAATCCATATCCCCACGAGCACATAAATAATGATCCATATAATTCCAATTAAAATTTTCTAATTTTTCAGTAATAAATGATATCCATGAAATTCCATAGGTTGAATGGTCTGGCGCTTGAAAACGATAGCGATATCGTATTTCAAATGTTGCATAAGGAAATCTAAGCACCAACAATATTAAGCATTAAAAATATGCGATAACAAATAACTATGCAAGTAAAAAACATTTAATAAAAAATACATGTTGATATTTAATATAATATACATAGTTGTATAATGTAATATACATATACACAATGTGTACCTGAGAGGCAAAAGCTTAGATCATTTGCTATGGATGTAGTCATGCGTATAAATGCTCGAGCACCGAATTGTATCCAACATCATCCCCACCATCTTCAGAATTTCACGGTACACGACACTAATGCGCATGCCCGAAAGCCAGAAATCGGTATCAAAATTCAACAATGTCAACTGATAAGTAATAACACGTTTATAATTTTTAATTTTTATTGTTTGAAATTCAACGTTATTGCTTATCACTTTATCAGTATAAYAGTATCATTCGCTTAGATTTCTGGGCATGCGCATTTCTTTCGTGTACCGTGAAATTTTGAAGGTGGTGGGGATGATGTTGGACACAATTCGGTATACGCATAACTACATCCATA